TAAAACAACAAAATTAATTTAAGTGTTTGACTCCTCATCAAAATTCCAACCTGGCGTTTTATCCGGAAATCTTATGGATTTTGGGGCATTTCGAGAATGTTTAAAAATAAAAGCAAACACTCAATATGGTCAATTAGCTGGGCAACATTGCACAATTAAAATTCAACCCACCGAAAACATCGTTAAAAAAGTGGTTATGTTTCGGGGATTATCCGAAATGGTTTGAAATAACTCCAAATCTATGTCTTTATCTAATTAATTTTGGTTTAGAGATACGATAAAATCAAAGCTTTAGTTGATGGAGCAAGTATTTATTGGTCAGTATGCATACCAGATTCATGTCCAATTGAAGACATTTTAAAACATTTCACGAAATTAATTAAAACGTTCGGTGAAGGTTTAGATTTAGAAATTACTCTTAACGAAGATGATTGTTCGAGTATAAAAAATGAACCGAAATTTGGACGGAATCAATACATTTTTAGTGGAGTTTTATTGTCGATAATATTAATTTGTTTGATATCTACAATCATCGATGTTGTTCATCGGCGTAAAAATCCCGAAAAGAAAACTTTATTTCGAATTTTTTCTCTTTATAGCAACTCATTATACATTTTTAATTATAATAATAATAACCCAACAGGATTTAATTGCATCGATGGGATTAGATATTTAAGTATATCTTATGTTGTCGTTGGACATAGATTTATGATGACTATGTTTGTGCCATCAGTGAATGCTTTAGATCTTATTGATGTAAAAAATTCTTAATTATTTTTTTAATTAATTTATTAATTATATTAATTTATTATTTTAGTGGCTTTTACGATATAGAAGTACGATAATCATCGGTGGAACAGTTTCTGTTGACACTTTCTTTATGATAAGTGGAATGTTATTGGCATATCATTCAATGAATCATCTAAGCAAAAATAACGGAAAATTAAATTGGTTTTTCCTCAATCTCTACCGATTCATGAGATTAACACCACCTTTAGCTTTTATTGTAATAACCCATATAACTTTAATACAATTCTTAGGATCTGGCCCTTTATGGAAACATTCAATTAAAACTCTTCAATTACCATGCAAATATTTTTGGTGGAGTACCTTATTGCATATTCAAAATTATATAAATCCAAGTCATTTAGTACGAGATTAAAAAAATCTTTAAAATTATTGTTTTAAATTGATTAATTTTAGTGTTTAGTTCAAGCTTGGTATTTAACAAACGATTTTTTATATTACCTCTTCGCCCCTTTTCTCATTTATCCGTTATGGAAATGGAATTATTTTGGATGGATTATTTGGGGAATCGCTTACATTTTAAGCGTTGCCATTAATTTTTATTACGCTTGGATTAATAAATATGGCGCTGGAAAATTAGTTAGCAACACTTTATTAGTTGAGGATTATTTTACAAAACACTACGTTGTACCACATATTAGAGCATCGACTTATATCTTAGGAATCGGTTTAGGAGCGATTTTCCATTTTACAAGAGATAAAAAAATTAAAATGAACGCGGTTACCGTAACTGTTGGATGGATGTGGTGTTTTATTTTAATCATAACGACAACAATTGGAAATCATTTTTTTCAATTAGAAGATCATGAATATAACAGATTAGAAGCTAGTAGTTTTATTTCTTTGTCTAGATCTGGATGGACTTTTGGTGTGATGTGGATTGTTTGGGCTTGTAAACATGGATATGGAGGTGATTTAATAATTTTATTAATTAGCAATTAATTTTTCTTTAGTTATATTGAAAATATTTTGATTATTTAGATATCACGTATACATGGAACTAAAATATTCCAAGTTGCTTCATTTAGTTGTTATAACGTTTTAAAGTTGGTTAGAAAGTTTCTTTAAAATGTCCCACATGATTTAAAAGAATCGTCTCTGTCCCTTCCAAGGTTATTAATAAAAGTCACTTCTATGGATGTCTTTTATGTATGTAGCTTAGCGGCGACGGAACCTAATTAATAGTCAACCGTCAGTCTGGTATGTATCATGATAAACTTTCTATAGAGTTCATTAAGGGACCCTTCTCTTCCGTCGTAGAGTTCTTTCGCACTTTAATAGTACATAATACATAGTTAACACGATTGGTTTTTCCTACCTATTATCTTGCTCTAAGTCTGAGTGTTTACCATTATTAATTAAAATAAAAATTCTCCCTTACATGAAGAATTTTGAGATGTGCCCTATCTCTCATCACACTTCGATGGCTAGAAGGCAGATTCTTGAAATTCGACCAAAAACACCGGTATTATTAGTGTACCAAGAAAATATCCTGAAATGTACAGACTTCTACATTTCATTATCATCTTCTTCTTCATCATGCCGCAAAGAGTGGTTAACGATATACGATGTTGTAACTTTTCCTTAAATTTTCACACTTTTTCTACACTAAAATTAACTCTGAAACTTTAAAAACTCTGAGTAACACTTTTGCCTTAGATGAAGAACAGTTAAAAATATCAATATCGTTTTCTCGTTATTGCTAGAAACTTCGATATCTCCATAGTTATCTCGAGAAGTTAGTGCAAAATGATCTTATTTTGGAACAGATTGAGCTACTTCTTTTATTTGACACCTCGGCAGATATGGTATCTTTGGTAAGATGTCAACGTACTACTTCATCATATGCGAGCCCCTTTGAGTTCAAAATAGATAGGGTAGAAAAAGATATCTTTATGACAGAAAACGAACAACGGCAAAACAATTAATACGTGTTATGAAGGATGGAATAAGCTCTATCATCCCGTGTTATACAAGGAGAAAAACGAAGAGCAGTGTCTACCAGGATTACAAGTCTACATAGTGTTAATAACACCCAAATCAGAATGCAGGCTACATCTATGTGGCAGCATTATTTATTAATACCTATATCAGCTGGTTTTCATCTATTATGACACACACTTTTCAAAAGATAAAAAATTGTACAAAATCGAGGACAAGGACACCTCAATCAACAATCAACATGACCTGACATAACAGCTGCATTCATGCAACAGCACGATTATCCTAAAAACAATAAAATCTTCATCAAGAACATTAAATGACATTTGCGAGCATGTATTCTGTAATGTCAAAAATAGTAGATGATCAGTGTTAAAGATGACAGTCAAGAATGAAACCAAGAACTCACGAAAAAAGTAAATGAAAAAGGGTCTAAGCGAAATAATTACTCTGGATATCAGTATAACCAGTGACCAAAGCGGAGGTGTAGAAGACTCTGTTGGTAATTTGCATTTGAAATGGACAGCTACCAGGTCGTCTATAATTGAAAGATTGATTTCCTTTGTAGATTGAAGAAAAGACGTCAATGAGTCAAATTGCTTAACGCAACCTAACGTTGCCAGTGTTGATATTTACTTTGTTCTGCAATCCGACCTATAGCTCGTCACCTTTTGGTTTTACCGATTCATCGAAGTGTCGTCGAAATTAGTAAATTTCTTTTTTGACTTATAGTAGGTTTGTTTTATAGTCCTTGAATAGCCTTCTTGTTGGGAGAAGTGTTGTCGCTTTATTTCCCGAAGCGATTCATCATCCTCCACGTTATGTCCGATTGGATTAACATTCTTCAGGAACAAATTCAATTATCATCTCCATACCATCCTCTCTATTGATGTTGTTTTTATGGCAATAGATTTATATGCCTCTCTGGTCATCATCTGGTGATAATGGCTACACCTGGTAGTTCTGATTATTATTACACCTGCTGACTGCTCTGTTTTTCCTTCCTTCCATATCTTCTTCTTGTTAGCCGTTGGATGTCCTTCGACATATAACCATTCTTCTTTCTTCCAATTTTCTCTGTCGCATAATCTCCTAGCCCTTGGAAAAAGGTACGAATCAAAACACCATTTTGATACAAAATTCTAGTGTTTCGTAGAAATAATTAGATTTTGCATCATTATATAATTTTAAATGGATACGTAAACATTGTTCCTTTTGATCCTTATCCATTCAGATTTCCTTGATTTTTTCATTGAACGAGATGACATTATTGCAGATGGTATGAAACTATTTTGTTGTCTCTGTTGTGATCCAAACATTCGTCTTTATACTTTTTGATCCAATCATCAAATAGTGTTTGGACATGCTGATTTCGTTGCTTTGAGGCCTTTGATATTTCATGGCCCATATTTTGTTGATGACTTCTAATACGCCGTTCAAATTCTTTACAATCTTTGGTTTCTAGCGTGATATGGAAAAGAAGGAAAGAATAAGGATGTAAAAATAAAGAAAAATGTAGCTCTTATAATTAGAATAATCTTGGAGTCAATATTCTTGATGGACTATTTCATTGATTTTAGATGCGACACAAAACTGTAACTAGCGATCCATGTTTTCAGTTCGATTAGAGAATCGGTTGGTGATTTTTTACTTGCTGGATATTGACTACAATTAAAATATTTTCAATACAACTATATTTTAATAACAAATAATTTAATAAAATATTTTTTAGGTCCAATAAATTACTTTCTAGCACATCCAATATTTCAAGTTTTGGGTAAATTAACATATTCAGTTTTCCTTTTACATTTATCCATACAATTTTTGGATAATGGCGCATTAAAATTACCGATTTACTTCTCAGATTTCAGTTTGGTACAAAATTTATTTCTCTATCTTAAAATTAAATATCTCTAAATATTTGTTTTTAGTACTACAAAGTTATTGGTGATTTAGTTCTTGTAACATTCTTCGCCGTTTTTTACGCCCTCATATTTGAATGTCCATTTGTGCGCTTAGCAAGAATGTTAAAATAAAAACTTTTTCTTTGAATTATTTAGAAAAACACCTTAATAAATTAATCACGAACAGCATAACGTGCCTCGACATTATTTTCTTTGTCAATCCATTCGTGAATTATTAAATAAAATTTCCACAAGAAATCGATATTCATTCAAAACAACAATCGTATCGGGAACATCGTCATTATCTTTATTGGTAAAATTCCAACTTGAAATTTAGTTTGTTTAAAAATGTTTTCGTGGAAACAAACCAAGAGGATAAGAAAAATTCCATCTATTCTAAAATATATCCGTTATTTTCTTAGCGAAAGTAACATTCATGGTCTTAATCATCTTGCAGAACCTAGGAGAAATATTTTAGAATACATTATATGGACCACATCAATTATTTTGTCGATTTATGGCGCGATATTATTAAGTAGAAAAACGTTATTGAGGTATCAAGAAAATCCAACAGTGATTTCGATGGAGCGAAATCGATTTGCATGGAACACTTCATTTCCATGCGTAACTATTTGTCCCACAACTAAAATTAGCGAAGGAGCACTTGAAGAATATTTACACAAATCAAATGCTACAGATAAAGTTAAATTAAAAGCATTTATTCTTTCTTTAGCATCAGCAACTTACACAAATTTTGATAGCGTTGTTCCATACGATGGAATTGAGAGTAAAGATTACATGGATTTATTATTTAAATTGAAATTTGAATTTAAACCTTCAATAACTGGTTCTGTTGTACACGCCCAACATATGGCTTTACAACAAACAGTTTTGGAGCTAGGAATTTGTTATAGTTTTAATTCACAATTAGCTTATTATAATTCGGAAATGTATTGGAAGGAAAATAAGGACGGTTTAGTTGAACAACATTCACCGTTTTATGTTAATCCTTTGGATGGGGAGGTTTTCACTAACATCGTTAATATGTCGACGGGATATTCAGTAAAAATATCACATAAAAATTTATTTTAAATAATTATTTTAATTATGTTTTTAGATTTTTATCCATGGTCCTTACGAAACCGCCGATATATCAAGCAAAAATATAACCGTAACAAACGGATTCTTTTTACAAATATTTCTTACCGGATTATCTTTGTATAGTTCCGAAAGAATTAGAGGATTATCAGTGACCCAACGAAAATGTCGCTTTTATGATGAATCCAATCTACTAAGATCCCCCGTTTACTCCATGGCGCTTTGTAGAATGGAATGTAGAGCAATGTTATCTCAAAAATTATGCGGATGTATCCCACATTTTTATCGGAAAATCAATGGGGATAAAGTTTGCGACGTTCAAGGCTTGCATTGTCTTGCAAAACATAAAGGTAAAAATTTGTTAGTAAAAATTAATAAAAAATTGATATTTATTTAATTTTTAAAGAGCGGTTTATTTCGATGAAAAAGGAATGTTTATGTTACCAAAATTGCGAAGAATCAAATTACGTCGTTGAAGATACTGATTTAAAACAGTGGTTCTTAGGTTCAAGTTTATTATGGGGGTTGAAAGAATATCCAACAATGAGGTTAAAACGTGATGTTATTTTTGGATTTTCAGATTTGTTAGGTAAATGCGGTTAATACAATAAATCTGCGTTAATTCGAATCAATTTACAAGAATAATTTTATATTAAAGTAATTCAAATGAAACGTAATAAATGATATTATCATCCCCTAAGATTTCGCCGAAATGGTACTAACCAGAATTGTGAATCCTCCCTAAATAATATCAACCTAAGTATTTGTGTAAGTAACCCTCTACATTATAACTCTCTTAATTATTCAATTACCACTCAATTAACTACTCAATTACTTACACCATTAAGATTTCTGCTAGGGATTCTGTGAATATCAGCCTGCTCATAATTTGGGATATCATATCAAAGCAAACCTATGCAACGAACTCTCTGAATTCTATTTAGTAAAGAAATGAATGTTGTTTGAAGAACCAACACAATAATATATCGAGCTGCTGATGTTTTAAAGAAGTTGAATGAACTTGATGTTGTTATTTTGAGAGCGATAATAGCGAGCAATGGTAATCTTGTTACACCTAATTCTCGTGATCGATTGGGAGATTGGAAGACTAATTTTGTTTTCCGAATAGTAACTCAACCCTTATTTTGAGGAGTTAAGAAATGATTTATATCTTAAATTAAAGCTAGGAGATTGTACTGTAGGATGTGATATAGAAATAATACGATTAAACATAAAATCTTTTCTAATAGAAGAATGTGTAAGAAAATCTGTTCATACGAATTAAGTCAGAAAAAGTGAAAATTTAGAAAAGCCACTTTGACCTTATTTTGAAAAATTAGGAAATGGTGTATATCTTAACTTAAAGCTAAAAGGTTCTATTTTCGGATTAAAATAATATGATTTGACAGCAAATTTTGTGAGAAACAGTCTTCTGCTTCTTAGAATTCAAACTCGAATAGAAAAACAGAGAGCATTAGGGGAGTACTACGAATATTTTTTTGTTTACATGATACATTTTTAGTCGTAAGATAATATATGAAACAAACGAAAGTGAACAGAAAATTACATAACATATTCTTGAACCAAAAGACGACCAATTCAAGTCGTGAAGGAATAAGAGTTGCAGAACTTAGCACATATCGCCGATTATTGATAGCTTACACCAACTCCAAAGAAGAAACAACAATAATCTATGAAAAGCTAAAACCAATAGAACTTGAGAAACAAGAAAGAAGCGTGGTGTACAAAGGAGAACTCCATAGAAATTTAAGAAACCTAGAAGAGCAAGAAGTAGAAATAGAACTCCACTAGTATCTCAATGATAGATGGAATAAGTTCAAGATAGGTAATCGACAACGTGGATAGCAACTAAAACATATAGTACGAAAACTATATAAAGATAAGGTAAAACAACAATGTACGAACGAAGGAGACAAGACTTCCCTTGTTTCCTGTCTCATGAGTAAAAAGAGCAAAACTAAAAACTTGGGAAGAATTTGGAATGAGGTTAACTGTTTTTGGGATACCGCGAACGCAGGTTGGGAAACACTTAGGAACAGAATTTTCGAAAATTCCTTTACCTATCTATTAACGTTTTTGAAATATCAGGAAATTAATCAAAATTATAAAAAGGCTAAGTTAGCTGTTATTTTTTTATTAGTAAGCCATGCACTACGTTCGATATTACATCAATGTCTGAAAGAGATAATGCAGTTTGCATACTATACGTAGTACAGCTTTAACTAAAAAACTTTAAATTCATTTGGACTTCAATCTGTAGCCCTAAGGATATGAAGATTCAAAATCACATATGCTTATAGAATATAGGTAGTCATTACCAAATAGTAGCTCTCCGTTAATAACAACGCTCATTTCTTGATCTCTGAATCTATATTAGCTTCCTGGTGCATGCATTATTGCCTAATATTTACAAATCATTTATAAATTAAAGTTGAAATCCGTACATATCCCAGCGATATCGTTACTTTAACTTACTAAGCTCTACTGATGAGGGGAAAGTGAAGTGGGCAGAGGGGAAAGTGAAGTGGGCAGAGGAGAAACAACATATTTAAGAAATGTAGAAAGATATTAAAATCACCAATAACAGTTTTTTATTTCTCATCTCTACGTTTCATGTGTCCTTTAGCTCGTCTATTTTCATAGCTGGGAGAACTTACTCCGGAGAACTTAGTTCTTTTATACAAAGGATTTTCGTAGATTCCTAGTGCAGTAGTCCTTTTGATTGCTGCATTTTTTCGTCGTTGATTGTTTGACAATTCCTCCACCTTCGAAACCAATTTCTCAATCTCAGGACTAAAGAGTACCTCTATTGGTTCATTCACCCGAAGTTGTTCCGCAGGTTCCTACTTGAATTAGCGTTGCCCACCTTCTACCACGAGGAGGTGCAGGTTCAGATTTGTACTTCATTAGGATTAAGACCAAAAGGCATTTCTTAATCCCCCCCGAGCTTTAGAAGGCGCTCATTTTGCTAGGATTATTTTTATCGACAAATGTCTTTAAGTTGACATTTGCTAATATAGTCATGGTTCGAAAGAATTTATCATAAGTCTGATTCATCTCGGTTACTATTTCTTATAAAGTTTATGGGCAATATAGAAAAGTGTTAAATGTCAAATTACGTCACAAATACAGGAGCATCTGTGATTCTAAAGTCTCGATTCAGTAATATATCTATCATAAGTTGTGGATAGCTTCAATATTTAGGAAATACATATTGGAAAGACAAATGTACTGACATAGTCATAGTTCATCTAATCGCTTTAACATAAATGTTTAAATTAAAAACCCAACCCATCGCTGTACATAATCCATAATCCGTTTAGAGAACTAAAATGAATTGTAAATACATCCAACAGTAATTTTCTTTAAAAATACCCATCCTTCTCCCAAAGTAGCAGCCGATACAAATCAAATCTATCTATAGTTAACAAAAATATAATATGTAATTTCAGAAACACTAACGATAGAATATGTGCTAGTTCTTGTCTACATTTGTCTTCTCTCGATTAAGTATGAAGCACTTAGTCGTCTTCTACAAATTATCCAGAACACTTCATTAGGAATATTTCTTACTATTCTTGAACAAATTCTTCATGCTTTCTTTGTCCATTGTCGTGTTTTTTTGAGAGAGAGTTTTTGAATTCGTGATTCAACATTACATTTCACATTATAGTTCAAGTTTTATGGAAAGTTTTTATTCAACCAACCCGGATTAGATAATCACTGATTGATGAATACTTCACGGTACATTACAAAAATAACATTAGTAATAAATTATATAAAATTGTATATATTCGAATTAGCGCAGTTTTGCATTTATATACATTTAACCTAATCAATTTATTTTTTGAAACCCAATTTTAGTTTACATCGGCGGAATGATTGGTTTATTTTTAGGATGTAGCGTATTGAGTTTAATCGAAATTGTTTACTTCTTCACATTACGTCTGTTTTGGTATTGGAAGAAACGGAACGATTAAATCCGCGTATTTATTTATAACATTTTAAACATCCACGTTATATCTTGCAGAAAACTAAATTGTTCAAATAGAAGCCGTGTCGGTTATCAAAATAACAACTGTAATATTTCAAAAATAGGGTTAGTACCATTGACACACTATAAAAAGATAACATTTGTACGTAAAGAATTGCAATACCGATACGGAACCGTATCAGAAAATAAACTCAAAATATCTGATAGGTCAGAGGTTGTTTTTTAATTGCTTTATCGTTCGTATTTTTCCTCTCATAAGATACTATCCCTCGCTAGTAAACTGATAATTTATAGAAGGCATGCAGAAGTAAACATGAATCGCGTGCTACTCGATCGTGTTTTTAGAAATGATCGTTTCATTTCAAGATTTTATGTAAGTAATTATTTTATTTGTTTCCTTTTTAATTTTAAGTCAATTATAATTTTAGTCGAATAGAAAAATCATAGCAATTAGACGTGAAGATCAAAGCGTTTGGGAAAGACGAGCACCATTTTCACCAGCTCACGTCAAAAAATTAGTTAAACATGGTGTTAAAGTCATTGTACAACCAAGTAATAGACGAGCGTATCCAATGCAGGCTTATATTAACGCAGGGGCGATTGTGCAAGAAGATATTTCAGAGGCAAACGTTATTTTTGGGGTTAAACAAGTCCCAATTGATCAATTGATACCAGATAAAACTTATTGTTTGTTTTCGCACACGATTAAAGCTCAAGAAACTAATATGCCCTTATTAGACGCAATTTTAGAAAAACGAATTCGCTTACTAGACTACGAGAAATTAACCGATGAATATGGAAATCGAGTTGTTGCTTTTGGAAGGATGGCTGGGATTGCAGGAACAGTTAACATCCTTCATGGACTTGGGTTAAGACTTTTAGCTTTAGGTCACCACACTCCTTTCATGCACATTGGTCCTGCGCATAATTATAGAAATTCTAGTATGGCCAAACAAGCTGTTAGAGATACTGGATATGAAATAGCTTTGGGTTTGATGCCAAAATCTATCGGGCCATTAACTTTTGTTTTTACGGGTTCCGGAAATGTATCTCAAGGGTCTCAAGAAGTATTCCAAGAACTCCCTCACGAATACGTTTCCCCTGAGTTATTAAAAAAAGCAGCTGAGCATGGAAGTTTGAACAAAGTTTATGGATGTGAAGTGCGTAGAAGCAGCTATTTGGAACGAATCGAAGGTGGAAAATTCGATCCAAACGAATATGAAGAACATCCTGAACGATATATATCAACATTTAATAAAAAAATTGCCCCGTACGCTTCGGTTATCATCAACGGAATTTATTGGGCTGTTAATAGTCCTAAATTGATCACAATCCCCGATGCAAAACATTTATTAAAATCCGCACATACACCTTGGTTACCAACATCAGTTGGAGCTCCGGCTCTCCCACACCGGATGTTAGCTATTTGTGATATCTCAGCCGATCCTGGTGGATCCATTGAGTTTATGAACGAATGTACCACCATCGACACCCCATTCTGCCTTTACGATGCCGATAGAAATAAAGATACTAAAAGTTTTAAAGGACCTGGAGTATTGGTTTGTAGTATTGATAACATGCCAACGCAAATTCCAAGAGAGAGCACCGATATGTTTGGAGATATGCTATTCCCTTACGCCATCGATATCATTAAATCAGATGCAACAAAACCCTTAGAAAGTCAATCATTTTTACCAGCGGTTGAAAGCGCAATTATAGCTAGTAATGGAAAACTAACCAACAACTTCGAATATATCAATGAGTTACGAAAAGTTGGAATGTAAGTAATCACACAAAACATTAAATTTAAAATTAATTTTTTTATTTACAGCAAAAGTTCTCAGCAAGGAGCTGATGGTGTGCAATTAAAAAAAATAGTCATCCTAGGTACAGGTCGCGTTTCAGCTCCTCTCGTTGAATACCTCCATAGAGACATGGACGTTGGAATTGTAGTTGCTTCGGAAGAAAAAGATCAATGTGATGATCTTGCAAGGAAATATGGCGGCGTTGAGAGTCGTTACGTTAATGCCATAGAAAATCCAGCATCCGTACAAGAACTAGTAAAAGGAGCTGATGTTGTTATTTCGATCCTCCCAGCCCCAATGCATCCGGTAGTCGCAAAAGCTTGCATTCAAGAAAAAGTACATATGGTTACGGCAAGTTATGCAAGTGACACTATGAAAGAACTTCACGAAGCAGCGGTTAACGCGGGCGTAACGATCTTAAACGAAGTTGGACTTGACCCTGGAATTGACCATCTTTTAGCTTTGGAGTGCATCCAAGACGTTCAAGCATTGGGTGGTCGAGTAACATCATTCGTATCTTATTGCGGTGGTTTACCAGCACCAGAATTCAGCGCAAATCCTCTTAGATACAAATTTTCTTGGTCCCCACGAGGAGCACTTTTAAACACTGTATCCGCAGCTAAATACCTGCGAAAAGGACAAATTGTTGAAATACAAGAAGGTGGAGAGTTGATGTCATCGACAACTGATTTAGATTTCTTACCTGGGTTTAATTTGGAAGGATTCCCAAATAGGGATAGTATGGTTTATGCGAAATTGTATGGATTACAAGACGCGGTTACTCTTTTAAGAGGAACTATTAGATACAAAGGATTTTCGGAGGCTGCAAGAGCCCTCCAATATTTAGGATTATTAGACACCAACCCACTTCCCGTTCTTCACACTCAAGGTCCAGATATAACTTGGAGACAATTAATTTGCAATTTATTAGGTCTTGAGGATGCTAATATGTTAACGGAAAATCTTAAGCAGAAAATATCTGAACGAGCAAACACTGAAATTGCTGTTGAAGTTTTAGAAGACCTTGAATTATTTAGCGATCAAAACGTTGTTAAATGCGGAACACCGTTAGATACAATTACTTATTATTTATCAAGAAAACTTTCTTTAGGTAAGATAATCGATTAGATAATAATTATTTAATGCAGTGATTTAATTCAAATTTCTTAATTTAGAAAAAGACGAAAGGGACTTGGTTATTTTACGTCACGACATTGGAATTGTTTGGCCAGATAACAGAAAAGAAGAAAGAGGTATAAATTTGGTGGTTTATGGAGATGTGGGTGGTCATTCAGCGATGGCTAAAACGGTTGGATTTCCAGCCGCTATTGCCGCAAAGATGGTTTTAGATGGTAAGTGTAATCTTAAAATGTTTTAATCAAATTTAATTTTTTTCATTATAGGTGAAATTCAGCAGAAAGGAGTTGTTTTGCCGTTTACCCACGAAATATATAGGCCTTTATTGTCCAGATTGAGATTGGAAGGATTATACAGCACAGAAACTTCTAAGTTTACATAATTCTATAATTGTATATATAATAACTAAGCAAATAAATATAAGCACAGCAAAATGAGAAAGATTTAGAATATGATCTTGTTAAATTAGAAACATATAACATTGTTCGATCAATGTATCTTATCCAAAATGATCCAATTAAACATTCGCTTCCTATGTCTCTTTCAGTACTCCAAATGAGGAAAACCAGCCTTAGTTGAAAGTTTTGTAAAGTAGCTTAAGTAGCTTTATACTTATTTACTTGTCACAGCCAACTAAAAAAGATGAAATTGACTCTTTTTATATGGTAAGGTAAGAAAATCATTATAGGTAAGCAAATCAACTGTCGATAGTCCAAAACAACCTATCAAGATCCTTTTAGGCAGGTGTGGGGCTAGGCCAAAGGGGACAATCTGTTTAACATCGCTCTGGAGAAGGCTGTAAGAGAATCAGATATAGCAAATAGAGGAACCACTATTAATACAGGATGTCTCAAAAAGATATACTCACACTTTTGCTGTCGCTAACATGCTGCCTTTTTTGTATTGCAGGTGTAAATAATTAATCACAGCATCAGGAAATCAACTTAGTTTGGAAGATCGAAAACGCCATTGAAGTGCAAAGACGATTTAGAAGGGAATTTACAAAACCGTCACCAACGTGACGGAACATTGCTCGCATCAGAGACAAATTTGAAGCAGATGGACCCGTCCAGAACGTCAACAAGAAATGTTCTGAACAACCACGGACATCTACGAGCTCTGGAAAATAGGAGCAGGTGCAGGAAACACTCCTTCGATCACCACAGTAATCTCTTCGATATACTGCTCGGGAAAAAAGCTCAAAAGATAGCATCTATCACATCATGAAGCAGCTGCACTCTAAATGCTACATTCCAACTGTAATCCATGCTCTCAACGAAGACGATCCTGACCACAATGTGCAGAAGATGCAGGGTTTCCACAGAAAATTATTCATTAATCGCCATAATTGCACGTACTGGAGTACCTGTATATACTCATGTAACACTTGAGCATCATGTAAAGTTACCAGGTGTAACAGTGTGGTGTGTGATATCCGCATTGGGCATCATAGGACTATTCTTTTAACGGAACTGTCACTGGTGAAAGATACCTCAACTTGCTTCAGGAGTTAGTCGGTCCACAAATTTCAGAGATGTTTGGCGATGCAGCTTTTCCAAACACATAGATTGGACGAAGGGGTACCATTGAATACCCTGCGCGTTCCCAAGATCTCACGCCCATAAACTTCTTTTTGTGGGGATATGTCAAAGACAAAGTTTATCGCACCAAACCAAGAATAATCGATGCATTGAAATTGGAAATTGAAAGACAATGTCGCGATATTCCTAATGATGTGTATCGTAACGTTTGCGTATCCCTTAGGGCGCGTTATCATCGTTGTCTAGAAAATAATGGTCATCAATTTGAACATTTGCGAAGATGATTCTTCAATTACATTTGTCTATTGTATTAGAAGCCATTCCATTTCATTTTATGTTCAGAAATAATGTTTTTCTCGTCATTGGAAGTGTGAGTACATTTTTTTGATACACCTGTAGAAGCGTACAGATACTAGCATACGCCGACGACATAGATTTCTAGATTCTTGCTATTATAGCAAGAAAAAAAATGGACCTCATAGAGGCCTTCAAATCATTGGAAGAAGTAGCAGAGACAAGGGTTACAGCTAAATACGTCCAAAACAAAATATATGAAGGTTGCTAATAACTTTCAGCTAACACCACCTGAAGATCTGATTAGTGAACCAAACACGTTTAAAGGTAATCTCAGTGTGAACCCAGGTAAATGAAATTAATATAATGGTTGCAGAAATTAAGAGAAGACTGTATATAGCCAATAGAACTTACTTTGGACCGACAAAACTGTTAACGTCATGCGTGGTAACCAACAAAACTATTATTATTATTGCTGCCGGGCCTTGCAATGAGCCATACGTTGTTTGAGACCCCCGTTCCTTCCTCGGAGCCTGCGGCAGATCTGGTTTGCCATGATGGCCTTTTTCCTCACCTTATCTAAGTGTGAGTTCCAGTTTAGTTTACTGTCTAGTACTACCCCTAGGTATTTAACTTCTGTTTTGGGGTTAATAATTCTGCTTTCAATATCATATTTGTAGCTTCCTTCTCCGAGTGAAAGGGACTATTTCGATTTTATTGGGATTGATGCTGAGCCCATTGCTTCTACACCTAGTACTGGTGTATCATATTTACCTCGGATTGTGATTATCAGGTCATCAGCATACCCTTGAATCTTAAATCCGTTTTTAGTTAGGTGTTCATCAAATCATCAACTACCAGGCACCATATTCATCCTCTTAGCACCTTTATAGTCAACGACTCGCCTCCCAGACTGGCTGTGATCTGCCGACTTTTCAACATGGCTATACACCACTTGATTGTCGACGGATATCTTTTACGTTTAGAGCCTACTCTACGGATTCATAGGTGTTACCAAACGCATCCTCTATGTCTATGAAACACATAGGGCTATCTCTTTGGTTGCAATTGCCTCCTCTAAAGTGCTAATCAAAGCATGGAGAACGGTAATTATTGATTTTGCTTTCTGGTAAGCATGTAACCAAACAAAAACTAAGGTATTAATATACAAAACGCTTATAAAACCTGTCCTCACGTAACCTGTTGGGATGCTTTGAAAGAAAGATTATCCGCCACACATACAGGGCTGTTTAGGAAAACGGAATATGGAGAACGAGTTACAACGTTGAGATGTACCGGCTGTATGAAGAACCGAATATTGTACAATCTGTCAAAATCAATAGGTTAAGGTGGCTCGGCCATCTAGAAAGGATGGATGAGAGGAAACCCCTAAAGCAAATGTTCCGCCAAACAGTTTTTGGAACCCGCAAGAGAAGAAGGCCTAGAAGCAGATATGAGGACCACGTGGAAAAAAATCTAAAAATGCTAGGCGAGTGGAAGCTGATCCTAGAACAGGCCAAGACCCACCAGGGGCTATGGTGCCAATAATAATGATGATAATGCAATTTAGCAGGACGTCGTTATATCGAAAACGGATTACAACGCGGTTTTGACCAAAATATGTCAAATAATTGCGTTTATCGGATACCGTTATCAGTTTTTCAAAGTTATATTTCTCTAATTTTTTTAGAGCGATTTAAGGGAATTATAAATTAAAATGAAACAGAAATAAGCCCTGCGGGGAGAGGGGTGTTACATTCAATCGGAAAAGATGGTGTGTTCCAGACAGTACGTCGCACTTTCATCTTATCTACATAAAGAAATAAAGGCGCGACGTCGTGTCTCTGAAACACACACCAGGACCATATTTTCCTATTGGACGGAACCCTACTCCCCGCATGGCTTATTTTTTGTTCCATTTTTAATTTATAATTCGCTTAAATCGCTCTAAAAAAATTAGAGAGACATAACATTGAAAAATTGATAACGATATCTGATAAACGCAATTATTTGTCATGTTTTGGTTAAAACCACGTTGAAATCCACCCAGTCGTATTCGACATAGCGGCGTCCAACTAAATCGCGATTTTCCGCGAAACTATATGGAATATCGAAAAAATAAAATATCATTAAGAACACATCAGGCTACCACCTGTTTAAAATAGAATTTTTTTTAATCCGATAGTTTTTGAGAAAAAAAATCGCAAAGTAGACAAAGTTGCCGGTACCGTAAAAAATCGAGTACTTTTTTCATTTAACTCTCGATAAAAAGAAAACCGAGGATCCAAAAATGTTCAAATTAACATATGTTACATAGAAATGTTCAGTGATTACAACAAACTTTGGCGCAATTTTTTTTATCGATCGTTTGCGAAGATATCGATCTTAAAGCCTTGACTTTTGACACCGATAGTTGACGACGACATTACCAGGATTTCGGTACATTGAAGAAGTGCGCTAAAACAAACAACAAATGAGTTAAAATCAAAATAATTAATGAACATAAATAGTTCATTAAAAACTTAATTTGACTAAAATTGGAAGAAATTCTATTATATAAATTGACTGTATTAAAATTAAAAATTAAAAAACTACGTTTAAAATTAATTTTATTTATAATTTATTACACACAATAAGAAAATAGTCTTCGAAAAAAAAAACAAAACGTATTAAAATAAATATTGCAATAATAGTCACTGCAAAGATACTGCAATGGTCTTAATTAATATAGTATAATCTATCAAAATATAATTTTTTCAATATACATAAACATACAGACAATTCATGTATTATAAGACAGTTTTTTGGATGGCGTTGAAGCGTAAATATTGAGCAAATTATCATCTAAAACAGTTGTAGCTCCAGTTTGATATCCGAGATCAGTTAAATCAGTGTTATCCGCGTATGATTTGCCAGTGAAATTCCTAACAGACAATCTGGCAATCTCTTCATTAGCAAAACTGGCGGATAATTTTTTTCTATATCCAAAAGATGACTTAGGAGTATTTGAGTTTGAAACATCCATTTCAACATTGTTTTTTACTGGTGTTGATACTTCAATTTTATTGTATTCAACATCCCAATTAATAACAGAACCGGAACTATTTGAAGTATTAGCTTCTTTCATAGAAACATTACATTCTGTAAAACTATTAAATTCAGTCTTCGGAATAGGCCCACAAACATCTGGAACCATATTCATGGTTGTATCTAAACTCATACGTTCTTCAAAATCGATTCGAGTTCCAGAACTTCTCTCTCTGTAATTGCTCCTATGAGCACTAATCGGCGATAAATTGCACTCATCCAAATTGAATGAACCATCAAGGTCCCTATCAAAATTTTCTTCAAACCTTATTGATTTGAAGGTGGGTGATAAATGTAAATGAGATGGATTGGCAGTAAGTGGAGATAAATGTAATGATTTTGGAGGAGAACTTTCGATTGTCTCACCATCACTCCTATCACATTCTTCAATATCAAATAATTTTTTATAGAGTAATTCATCTATAGGTGGATTTGAAGATTCAACACATTTTAATTCTTCTGGATTAAAATATGGTTGGAGTGCTTTCTCTAATTCTGGTGGTAAATCCATTGGGAGACTTAATGCAGTTTGTGTAGATACTGGGATTATATAATATTAATTAAAAAAGTGATATTAATTGTTGTTCTTACCTTCACAAGTTCTCTTCACATCCTTAATAGGAGTTTCCACCTCTTTAACTAAAGGTTCAGGTTTGCAATCATTATTAAAAGGACTAGGGACAACACTTTGACTAAAAAAGAGATCAATTTTGGCTTGAACATGTGATTCCATTGTGTTATCAAAATGGTGATCGCATTGTCCTGCTGCAGTTTCATCAATATCCACAGGTTTTATACATGAAATATCATCAATACTCCACTTGAATTTATCTTCAACTTGTTGACTAGATACTTTGAACGCAGAAGGGCTACACCAAATTAAATTAAATAATTAAAAATTAATTAATATAAAACATTAAATCCACCTAAATACGTTTGTGTGGAATCTTTCAGATAGATGAGCTTCGAAAGGGTTCCTCAGTCTTGTGTACCTCGAGGGCGGTGTAAAATAATTATGTCTTAAATTAACACTTTGCTTAAGTTTTGTTGTTGAATTCTTTTGCGATACTTTAGACGGAGTTTCAGTTTCAGAACCACTCGGTTTATATTCTTCCATATTTCAACGCTTAACTTATCTTAAAGCGAATATTCGAACATGTCCGTTATAAAATGAATAAAAAACCCGAACCGCCAAACCGGACCGAGAAAACCGTTGATAGTGGGACTTTTAAATTTGACTCTCTCACTTGACGTTTGATTCACGTTAAAAATCAACGTTTAAAAATTAAATGTCCCTAAGAAATGCAGTTTTAAGAATAAATTTTGTTTCAATAAAAAATTAAATGTTAATTGTGTTGTGGTTAAAATTATAATATATATTTAATGGTTATTAAGTAAAAAAAATCTTTTAGGTTTTTTGTGAGAACTTCCACTTGACGTTTAATGTAAAAGTTAAATATCCCCAATATAATCTTAAACGATTATTTAAGATTGTTTTTAAACAAATTCTGTATATCTTTATTAATGTTAATTTTTAATAACAAATAAAGGTTGTTAATGATAAATTGTTTTTGTATATAATATTTTTTTAATTAATTCGTATATTATTTCTTTTGACATTTCATTGTAGTTACACAAAATGTCTACAAGTTAATACAAAAACAAACAGAAATTACCTAAATCTAGATTTAAAAGTAATTTGATATTAATATTTGAGTATAATTTTATTAATGTTTTCTCACGATTATTTCATCTCCTTTTAGAATGACCTTTAAGAAAGTTTCACAGAGAAAATATGTGTCAAAAAATATGGATTTTACTACCAATATTATTTACATATGATTAATAATTTGTTTCGGATTTCTCTGCCTTAAGAAACCACAAATGTAGCAAATGCGACCAATTAATTCGTCAGTTTAATCGCTGCTTTCCAATCGAGATATTTGTGAAATGTTATCCTTGGTGAGCGAAATACATTTTTGGAGTTCAAGGGATGATATAAATGTAAAAAATACCGATTACGGAGCTTTTAGGTGCGTTATTTCATAATTATTGCTTCAATTTTATGATGATTATAAATCAATTTTAGTTATCATTTAACCAAAGATGTTGGAAACGTTTATGATAGCACCAAGAAGTCTTATTGTGAGAAAAGGGGTGTTGCATGGAACTTAACAAATAAAAGGCCACACAAATTGAAAGACAAACTTAAGGAATTAGATGTTGGTGTATTTTTATAATAAGTAAATTAATTACATTCCCAAGCAGCAATCTTAAGTCAACCCAAGTTGATAAATGACATTTTTTAAGGATACAATATTAATTTGTTGTTTGCTATGTGTGGAAAGAGACATAAATCATCTATTAAAATGTTGATAATGTTTCAGATTCCCATAAGAAAGGTGCAAATACATAAATAATTAATATAAAAATAATTTTGAGGTTATTTTGATGAAGGTATTTTTTATGAATCCATATTATATTGATATGGAGGATATTTATTCATATGTTGAGTTACTTTTTATTCCTAACATCTCCATCAGTTATAGTACTTATGTTATAGTTGATTTTATTAAGAGAAATCATGCAATTTTGTGATTTATGCTACATCACTAGAAATTGATGATAGATAAAAATGAAATAAGTATGGATTATGATTTTTTGATGCATTAGAAATATTTTTTATTCATAATGTCTTTCTACATCAGTTTTAGTACTTATATTATAGTTGGTTTTATTAAGAGAAATCTTCCAATTTTGACATTTTGGGGATTTGTGGTATATCAATAGAACCTGATAATACACTCAGCTCGGTTTTCCGTTCGCGTAATATCTGCACATTCTTGAGCTCGCACCTGCCAATGTAGTTTAATATTAAAACAAGTAAATACTTCACAAATTTATGAATTATTTCACATAAATATAAAAACGCATCACCTAAATGATGACCAGTTTCAAACTGCAATAACTTTTGAGAGTATTGCTCGATTTGAATAAGATTTTTTTTATTTGCAATCAAATCTTCAATTTCAGCAATGGTGAATAACACTATCGCGTGTTTTCTTCCTACACTTTGAAGCTTGCTATGGGGTGCACCAACAAAATAAATTAATTTTAAACATAAGTGGCTTGTAGTCTCGTCTGTTCTGATCATTTCTGTTTTTTTTTCCAAGTTTCTATTATTGTTAACACCAAAGTTACAAGCTCTAATAGGCCCCATACACCAGCAAACAAATTGCGCCAACTGACATTGCACAACAGGTTATTGTGCAAACAAGGTTACCCATACACTATACACATTTTATACAAACTTCAGTTGCTTGTGTTGTGTACGCACGGAAACATACCATCTGGCAAAGCAGTGTGGATGGAACAGTGGTTAAGGAAAAGATCACTTTTTAGCCACCCAAATCTTCTCAAAGGACTTAAGTTCACCATTAGACTATAAAAATTATTTACGATTGGATCTCACTATTTTTGGTGAATTATTGGTCATGGTACCACTTATACAAAAACAAGACACAATATTGAGAGAAATAATATAGCCCAAACAAAGATTATTTGCTACTTTAAGGTACCTTGCAACTGGACTTACCTATGAGATTTAAAGTTTGAAACAGCCATAGCTGATCAAACGCCTGGAAAGATTATCCAAGATTATTCCAATTGTTAGAATTCTTGATAGTTGATGCGGGCGCAAATGGACGCGTTTATAGGGTTATATAGGGTTCTACAATAAACTTGTATAAGAAGCCTGTGTATTCCTGAACCGGGAAATTTATGATCAACAGTTGTTGTCGAAATGCCATAATATGTTTTCGTAGGGGATGACGCCTTCCCACTTATGAAAAATTTAATGTATCCCTTTAGCAAGCTCACCAACGAAGATATGTAACTGCAGGATGTGACGGTGATTATTGAAAATGCGTTTGGAATACTAGCTTCTCGGTTCAGAATTCTGTTAAATTAAATTAACCTATGTCCAGAAAAGGCTGTCACGATAGTATTCGCATGTTGCTACTTGTACAACTTTTTGCGATATAAAAAAGTGGAATGTTATTTCCAAGGCGGTGCAAATATTGAAAACATAAACACCGGAGAGTTTATAAATGCTGACTGGAGAACAGGCCCCACGTTACGTACACTACAGCCACTCCAAGGAAGAAACAGTACCATTACAGTAAAAGAATACGAACACAATTTTGCAATTACTTTAATACTGTTGTAGCTGTTTCTTGGGAAAACAAAATATTTCCACAATAAACGATGGATCAATTTTTCAGTATAAGTTTTGTGTTTAATAAAAATATCATGTTTTGAACATTGTTGTAGCATGTAATTATTTAATGTATTTTATCAAAAGAAACTGTCGTTATTGCACAATGTGTCGCACGATGAAGGATACATTAACATTTTGTTTGATTTACTTGTCACAGTTTAAGTAAATTCCATCGACATCCATGATTTGCTTTAATTTCTAATGGCGCTCCGAACAAGCTGCGTTATCTTGTAGAGGTTATAACTTTGGTGTTAACGATAATAGAAACTTGAACAAAAAGCAGAAGTTATCAGAACAGACAAAACTACAAGCTCCTTATGTTTAAAATTAATTTCTTTTGTCGGTGCACCCCACAGCAAGCATCAAAGTATAGGAAGAAAACACGCATTAGCGTTATTCATGATTGCTGAAATTGAAGAGCGCCAAAATGGGGAAGGCACTTACAGAAATATTGGCAAAGGGTAGATCTTTCCAAAAAAACCTTATTCAAATAGGGCAATACGTTCAAAAATTATTGCAGTTTGAAACTGGTCATCATTATAGGGGATGATATACTGATGGTGAATTTGATGAGACAAGAGCTAACAATGTCCAATTTTTTCATGAATGAACCTATGCCAAAATAAATACAATTTTAAGTAAACGACATTTAGACACTAAAATTTTAAAGTTTGCTGTTTGGGCTATAGAATTTATTTGTACAAATCCTAACCTCTTAATATTTTTAGGACCATTTAAATCAAAGTAAAATTCTTTTTGTTTCCTGTAAAGATGCACACGTTTATTTGTTATTAGCAAAAGGAATTTTGGTTAGTATTTTATATAATGTTCAAACATGTGACTTAATTTCAATTAGTTTTGATAAATTTCTTAGTACCAAAATTCAAAATGAACCCGTTTGTGATGGTAAGGATAACTCACTTCAAAATAACTTAATTTGTCTTATAATATCCTCTTATAGGTTATATTGATAATGATCATATAGTTGCTGTTTTATCTGATGGAAGAGTTTTTGGTTATGGGGGTAGTTGGAGGGAAGGTTGGTCGATTGAAGGTGGTCCCCGACGCTATGTATATTTATATGGTGAATACATGGTGGTTTGGGGACGCTCTGGAGCTGAACACCCACAACCGTGGAGTCCTCTCACAAAAGATCATCAAAGAGCTAATTTACACTTATATTGGGTTGGTTCAAGAGGAAGCGATTTATTAAGCTATAAAAAAACTTCAGCTGAACCAATTGCTGTTGTTATCAGCAAAATTTATTCAAAAAATTTAATCGTTGTGGAACAAAATGTATCTCAAAGAGGTGCTGTTTCCGTTGAAGTAAACGTTTTAGAATTAATTAATAACAATTTAAAACGGGCTTCTGTAACAGCCGTACCTTTACAAACTCAAGTTTGTAGTACATCATTAAGTAAAAATGAGATTTACCTTCTTCTTTGCTGCATTGATGGAAGCATAGCGCTGTTAAATAGAAATCGTGGTTCAACAAAAATTGTAAAAGCTTCCTTTATTCCAACTTTGGCATGTTGGCATGATTCGAATTGTTTAGCAGCAATTGGAAATGAAAACGGACAAATACAATATATTGATGCGTCGTTAAATTTCGTACGAACACAAATTTCGACTGAAGACTTTACACCAACAAATATAATAGACGTTTCAAGTTATTTTAATACTCGTCCAAACGTAACATTATTAAAATGGGAAGGAAAAGATTTAATTTTATGTTTAGAACATGGACCTTTAATTGTTGTCACTCATGATAGAAACTCTTTACATTTTCTATCCGTTATACAAAGATACTTAAAAGACGGAAAAACCGATAAAGCAGTTAATTTATTATTAAGTTGGGAATTTAACGAGGAATGTTTTGCTGCGTTACAAAAAATCGTTACTTATTTGTTACGTTTACCATTAACGGAAGAAAACGCCCAATTGTTACAGAACGCTTTAGGATGTTATTATAGCCCGCCTATTCCTTTAGATGCGGAAGCGATTCATAATTATGGGTTTCAAGTTAAATGTTTGACAAGGAGGTTTTTTTATCAATTAATAAGGGCTTCTATGTTTGAAACCGCTTTTCTTCTTGCTGTTGATATTGGACATCATGATTTATTTATGGATTTGCATTATATTGCTGTTAAAATGGGAGAAACTGAAATGGCAGCAGCAGCTAGAGCTCAAGCTTCTACTTTATTGAGTAGTTGTTCAAGCGCTGGTAAATATTTTTTTGTATTACTGCTTTAATGTTAATTAAGTTATTAAAAAGAAGTGAAAAATTTTAAAGTAGCGAAATAATACTAATAATTTTGGATGATTTTAAATATTATTTAATTTATGTTCAGTTGTTTAAACAGGGTTGTAATAAACCTTTGGTTCAACATAATTCTTATATTGGTATTGATGATTTTTAAGAAAATTCGATTTTATTTGGCACTGGTTGTGTGGAGAGTCTTCAATATTGTAAACGAACCAATATTAGGTGATTTGGGACAGGATGTCGGAAGACACAGGTTAACCAACAATTTTATAAAAATATGTACTAGTGATCTGTAATAGCTTATATTTTACTGTTAGATTGCGAAAATGTAAGTGGGGTGAGTGCTTAATCGAAGTTCGACCAAACATCCTGCCATCAAGTAAATTAATTCGAATTAGTAATAGTGGTTGGCTGACTGTCAGGATATTGGCATTGTTGATAGGCCATAAATAGGACATAAAATATAAATAAGCTTTGGAGAAAACGATGGGTGCTTTCACTTTCCGTTTGTCTTCCTTGAATTTTTATTGTCTTCTTCAACGCTCGATCATGAAAGAGTGTTTTCTACAATACCATCAACGATTTGCGTAAATGTATTTTTCGCCTTTACATGTATGAATGAAACTGACAATCTTGTCTTATGTTTTGCATCAGCTGTATAAATACTTTGTGAGTGTCTCTCTAGCAATATTCAACAAACTGTAAAACATCGTCAATGGTTATCTATAGGGGATTCTAAATACCGCATAGTATTTATCTTTGGCTTATATTTATCTCAAGCAAAATTGATAAAGATTCTATCAATCTTGCCATCAGAATGCAGTGTTGAAAAATTATGACACCAACATTCATGTTATTACTGATCTTTCTCCTCATGGATTAATTATGTTTACTCAAACATGTTTAATCGACGTTTCGGGCTATTATAAGTCCATCATCAGGATTTGAATATAAATCTAAAAGAACAATTACAATTTTAAGCAAAAAACAACGACGAAACATTTAGAAATAATACATTTAAAATTTTGTTATATTCTATACTTATAATCAGAATATATAAATTCAAAGACGTACCATTGTTGAAAAAACAGTGGGAGAGCTGATAATTGTCATCCTATAATTATTTTAATTGTTATTTTCAGGATTAGTCTATTATCATGTGGTTCTCAACTGCTCACTTGCGTGTGTAAAATGGCTTTTACGACAAACCAGTTTTATTACTGGTATGAATTTCTTTATAAGAATCCAAAATAAATTTAAATTCAATTTTTAATACTAATTATGATGCTTTGTCATATATGAATTACTTATTCGTTTGAATTTAATCTAAATATCAAGCTTATCAAGTATTCCCGCATATATTTTACCTATATTGCCTGTGTCTGATTTGAAGTTGACTATATTACTAATATTTTTAGTAATGTGAATAGCTTCTAAGGTTTTCTTATTGAAACTATTCTTACTCGTGGTGATAACTTTAGGAAATGTTGATATAGCGCTGTCTTGTCAATTATTTTGAATTGTCGCACATCGTTTCTATGTTGACTTATGCGCTTGTGAAGAGATGTGCTTAGATTCCCCTATATATGATTTATCACAATTCTTGCAGTTGATTCTGTATACCGTGTTTATTTTATCTATAGTCTTTATTTTGTCTTTCATATTGGTGAGCAAGTTTCCAATTTTATTGTTGTTATAAGGAGCGAATTTCAATTCTGTAAACTTATGTTTTCTAACAATAGATGTTACTTTTTTGGTTATACCGGGTATGTGCTTGATTTGGTTGAAATTAAGTTTGTTAGCTGTGCTTTCATTAGGTGTTTCTAGTCAGTTTCCATTATTACTATGTTTACTGATATAACTGGTCAACGAAGATTGTGTTAGACCTCCTACTTTGTCTTTATTTCTATTACGTAGATTATATCTCTGGTTCAGAGGTGGTGAATTTGCCTCTGTTATGTTGTTACTTGTATTTACAGAATGATCAACATTCTGAATAGAAAGTTTTGTATTTATATTGTACCACATTTTATTGATTAAGGTTCTGGGGTAAGCATTTTCCAAAAGAATTTCATATATGGTATATGGTTTATCAGTCAATGCAATAGCTCTATGTATTAAATTATTCATTGTGTTTAGGATTTGAGTCGTAGGGTGGTTACTCTAGTAATGCAAGGTTCTATTGCTAGAAGAGAAATAGTTTTTCAAGCCCACTTGCAAACTCTACAAACGCTGTGTTGTGCATTACAAAGTATCAGCATCAATTTTAGTAGTCGAACTTGTTATAAACTCATGAAAAGAGGGAAACGAGTCTACTTCTCCATTACCAACTCTCTTTTGCCATAAATTTAATTTTGCGATGACAGCCTTCACTTTATCTTGAACGTGAAACAATTTCTTTGCTTTGTAACGATAAGTTAAGGCATTTTAAAACAGAGAATATGTCTGCTAAGTATGCTAATTTACAAAGCCATTTCCAGTCATTAAGTCAAATCATCATTAAGAAAACAGTGAAGTTCATGTCTTGGTTCAAACAATCGATTTAGAATTTTTCCTCGAGATAGCCAATGAACATCGGTCATCACATATTTGCGAAAAAAGTCGTGCATTCAAAGCACGGTTTTTAATGTAGTTAACGATTTTCACGCTCTCCAGAACTTTCTGTAGATCAGCGACATATGACATTTGGGGCAAGATTTTGAATTCTTGCAATGAGTCCTTTATTAACTCCGACCTTACTTCTGTGCTTATTCCAACACATCTATTCCAATCAATTTTGTTCTCTTGCGTAACTTTATTCATAACGTTCTCTAGGCCCTAGAGTATCTCTCCTATCCGAATACATTGCGCCAAAGATTGGCGGAGTTGGGGTTTTGGTCTGGGTGTGTGTTTCTCCTGGTATGGTTTGGAACTTGTTGGGTTGAGGATGGATGTTAGTATCAAGACCTGAACCCCATTGAAAACCTGTGAGACGAATTGAATCGCCGAGTTAAGGGGTGCAACAACTCTCCAAAATCATTGAAAAGAACTTACGCGCTTTTTTCAACTCAAGTAAAAGAAAATACCAGTAGTCATTATACAAGAACTTGTGAAAAGAATGCCAAGGAGGGGTGAGGCTGTAATTGCCGCACGTGGAGGCTCTACCAACTACTGAATATGAATATATGTTACCAGAATTGTAAAAGAGAAGTTTATTTCACAAGTGGATTCATGTCAAAAAAGATAAATAAATGAGGTGATGTAAGAGAGAGTTACAAATATTTGCATTTAAATTTGCATCCACCTGAAATATTTCCACAACTATCTATGAGGTAACACAATACTAGTACATTGGTGACAGATACGTCAACATTGCTGAGAAAACGATAAGTCGCCTTTAATAGATGGTCCTCAACCTTGAAGGACATAAAGTGACTATAGCTGAATCAGTAGCACTTCCCAACCAAACTTTTAAATGGCTTCTTTGGTCATATTGCCGATGAGGACGGGCGTTATTGTGTTGCAAAAGAACACCATGTTGTTCATCAAGATGTCTTGATGAACAACATGGTGTTCTGTTTACCAATGGTTTGTTTGTCAGGTCTAAGCCATTCTTGTTACCAGTAAGTTTCAGTAGAAAAATCTTTGCTTGTTTTGCTCATTCTTTTTGTTCCTCTCATTCAGTCTCGACGACTTTATGATTAAACGCGAAAAAGAAAATAGCCGAATATGTTCATTTTCTCTTTTTTCCTAGACTCTTTCATACATACTATAAGTAAAATGGTCGTTAATATCTTAAAAAATACTTTATAATTTTCACTTCTTTAAACCTTCAAATCCTTTTTTAATACTTGTAATAATTCTTTTATTTAATTCTTTTAGCTTCTGATTGTTCACGTTCATCTTGTTCGCAATGTTCAAATTCAACAAGCGAAAGCAGTAGTGAAGAATTAAGCGAAACTGAAGATCAACCAGACGTGCAAATCCAACCGACTCAATCTCACAACGATAACTACCTTACAACGAATTTTAATAATTCAAATCCCAAAACTTACGGCTCCTATATTCCCCCAATTCCAAACTTAGATTTACCAAAAGTCAATTTTACGAAATCGACTTTAACAAAGCCGACTACTTATCGCCCCTTTCCTTCGAATCAGGTTCCTCCTTTACCTGTTACGGCTCCTCCTTTGCCGGTACCACCTGTTTCTTCTTCAGTAAACGAGCAATTTAATAACGGAACATACCAATCGCCACAATTTTCTTATTCGATTCCTTCCGTTCCTTTTAAAATTCAAACAAAACCGTTTAATTTTACTATTCCGAATAAGAATTTTCGATCTTATAGTTTTACTTCAAGTAATTATGCGAGTGAATCTCAAAAGCCAAGTGTCGTTCCTCCACTTCCTACTCAATCTAATTTTAATCAACATAATTATTCGCAACCAAATTTTCCATTACCTAATTTAAGTTCATCATATTCTAATTTATCACAACCCACCACAAATTTTCCTACAATTTACACTTCTCCATTAACATATTCAAATTCGTCTACTGATCACGTTTCAAGACCGTCATCAAGTCCAACCCCGACCACTTCACAAAATACAAACACAAAAAAAGCTCAGGCAAAGGTCAAATTTTCGGATACAGTGACTGCTTTTATCGTCCCTGAAATAAAACGACCTGTTAGGCCTAGTTTACCAGCTCATGTGATGGATCCCCAAAAAGAACTTGCGGATAGTTTACCTTTGTGTCATCCGAATGAGGATTATTTAAAAGATTTTGCGCCGGTTAAGAAGAATGAGAACAGTGAAAGCCCCAGTCCAAAAATTAAAGTTGTACATTTTGGGGTTGTTTGAATTGAACTTCTTGTGGTGGTGGGATAAGATTTTTTTTTAATTTATTTAATTTTATTAACTTAATTTCTGTTAAAAAATTTCTGATCTCTTCAAAAATATTATGGTGCTACAAACTCTGATTAGAATTTCAGTATTACTCAAAAACTGATATATTTCTACAAAATGTTAATACTTTTCTTGAAAAATATGTTCTATATACGCATATCTTAATAAATATAAATATGTATGTAGAATATGTAGATGTCAATTAAAAAATAATTATAATTGAAACTTGGTGTTAATTGTAATATTATAACTTTTTAATGTTAATATGATTTATAATAAGATATTTAATTTTTATGTGTTCAAATACCATGCAATCAAAAATGATTGTGATTTAATATTTTATTTATTTAATATCAAAAAAAAAACCATAACTTGTAATTTATCCTGGATAATTCACTTTTTCTTCTCAATCATTGTTAATTGCAAGGTGTTATTAATATTTTATCGCTTATTACCTCAATTATTACTAACAATACTCAGCTTAAATGATAATTAAAATATATTTTGATACCATAACAAACTGATTTTGTCAGTATCGAGTTGTGCCTTGCAATAGAAATTGTATTCTGCTATATACGACCTTAAAAAGCAAGTAGTAAGTGCTATGATCATTAAAGAAATACGCAACTTTTTTTAATTTATATTTTTATACAATTACTACAATTTAAATAAAAAACCTTTCTTATATTTTATTTTTTCCTTGCACCTCCCATAGATTCTAAAGTATCCTTTAATTCCAGTAATTCCTTATCAGGTATATATCGATCTTCTTCATCTTGTTCAGTGTGTTGCACTAAATTAACCTTTACTCCTATAGGAACACAAGCTTCAATTGCTCTTAAAAGAATAGGTAACTAAAATCAAAAAATTACATTAAAATTATTGCAAAGGATTTATATTTGAAAATATTTACTTGAGTACTTGGACAATCTGTAATTTGTACAGTTCTCCGATACGTTTTCAAATGATACTGACTTTCAACGATTTCACTATTTGGTTTATATGTTGAAATAGAAAAATCTTGATGTGGTGAGGCCCAAGAATCTTCTACATTTATATCCATATTCGTTGCTATAGTATGAATTAATCTTTGGTAACTTTCAAGTAAGGGATAATCATAACCTCTTATTTCTATATTTAATGGTTCGTGAAGAGGTATTTTCGGTTTTAAAGCGTCTAAGTAATCCGGTTCATAAAGATTCGTACTGTATGCTGTTGATATGATACATTTTCGGGGTATTAATTGTAATGTTCTTCGTAATAATTGTAAAGAACTCATTTTTCGAATTGTTTCTTAATTAACCTCAAAATTTGACAGATTAAGGTTATGTTTGGTTGATTGGTTGTCTATCTGTTCAGGCGTTTAAGTTCGAAAATTTAATAAAATTAATGCTATGATCATGTAATTTCATTAAAAATAATTATTAACATTTTATTTTATGCGCAAAGATGTAAACGTCAGTGTGGGTTGTATAAGGACAATTTTAAAACCCTTATAAAATTGTCGCAAATTGCTGTGACCAAAAAAGTTCCTAAAAAGTCCTCTTATAAAGGTGTCTAAACTTTACTTAAATTTTGCAAAACTTGTCAAAACCGTTACAAAATTGTTCCAGAATACTGCAACCGTAGAATCATTAAAAACTGGTGAAAAGTCAGCTCTAAACCATGTTCATAAATGAGTAAATTTATTCAAAGATGTCTAAAATCAGATAAAGTGTATAGTTGGTATCACAAAATAAGCATTAAAATTACACCAGTCAGCCGAGAGTTTTCGAATATGATTGTAAAGTTGTGAAAAGTTGACATAAATTTGTTTAAACTTATTAAAAATGGAGGAAAGCCTTACAAAATTGGGTCAAGTTGATATAGGCGAAGAATAATTTAGACCTAGTTAAATGTCAGTTTTAAACTTGGTCGTAAATAGCGTCAAATAGTTGTAAAATCGTTGAAAGTAATTGCAATTCATTTAAAAATGTTGGAGAAATCAAGATTGGTTGCAATTTATCTATTTTGTTTTAATTGTTATAGGGAACTATTTAAACCTGGTCAACAATCTACTTCATTCAAAAAGTATTAGCCGACGAACTACAATTTACACAGTCTTAATGTAAAAGAGAAAATTGCCGAGGTGGTTTGCGGCCGAACCGCTAGGATCTACTTTGTTAAAGAAATATTAATCGTGACATTACAGTTTACACCAGCAACGAGATAGTAGCCGAGGTTGCTTGCGGTTGAGGTACTAGAATCTGCATCGTTAATGAAATATTAGCCGTGAAATATAATGAAATATATAATGTACTGTTTTAAAGAGATAGTAGTCGATGTAGCTTAAGGACTAGATTCCACCTCCTTAAAAAGATATTAGTTGTGATGCTACATTTTTTGCCGACAAAAAGATAGTAGTAGAGATCGCTTGCGGCCGAGTCGCACACAATTTACTTCATCCAAGAGATATTAGTAAAGGCGCTAATATCGGAATCTACATCGATAGAGAATGACGTAGTGGCCGAGGTTCATCTTTTTGTCAACAAAATACAATCTTTTTGATGTTTTTGAATGATGTGCAGATCGCACTTGGTGATTGATGGAAGAAATATAAAGGAATTCGATCAAAACCTTAAAAGTGGCATCTATAAACTTAATTGTGAAGATTGTGATTGCTTTTACATTGGTCAAACGGGACGTAACATAAAAGCTAGATATAAAGAACACATTTCAAAAAATAATTCTGCTTTTTTCAAACATTTAACTGAAACAGGACATAAATCTGATCTCTCTAATATTGCCCTCCTAAAAGGCCTAAAGAAATCAAAAAAGATGGATCTTTATGAAGAATATTTTATTAAATCACACAACAAATCTAATCCAAATCTTTTAGTTAATGATTATACGGATTTCCACCGAAATAGGTTATTTTCCGCTTTCCTTTAATAAATTTATTTTGACTCATATCCCCCGCTCTTTGCAGTTGTTGTCACCTTTCTTTGTTTGACTTTATTTTTACCTTTACAATTTCTTTAACGCTTAACCGTTTCGAAACGTGATAACATGTACCGAGTACTCTCATATAGTAAGGTAATTTTAATCTTTAATTATTTTAATTAATATTGAACATCACCCCGTTTTCTTACAACTAATTTTACTTTTTGATGGTTTAAATTATTTTTAGATTTTTCGAATTATTCTTTTTGGTCTTTCGACGCCTTCGTTATGTTATTCCCTCTTATTTCATTGCAACCACTGATGTAACTGACGGTAATTATTAGTTATTTTATCCACCTTTAATTATAATTTTGACACCTTATGTTAATTACTTTAGATCGAGCTTTAGATGTACCAGATGACGCTTTTATGAAAAAAGCGAAACACGTGTAGTACAGATTGAAAATTAAAATAAAATAAACATCATTATGGAGCAAAAGATTAGTTCTTTTTGTCTTTTTAATTTTTTAATTTACACAATGAACTTGGAGTTAACCATCGCCAACTCAAGATGATGGCGGCGCAGACAACAATAAGGCGAAGTACAAAGAACACAATTAATGTGGTATGGCTACATTCAATAAATGGGTAATGAAAGAATCCCAATAAAATCGATTAAAAAGCTACATGAATATCGAGGATTCGAAAGGGAATGTCTGAAAGAATCTTATCATCAGAAGATTGGGATGACTGCAAAGGTTAGAGGTTGGCAAAACGCTATAAACCGATATAATCTCAACCATCGTCCATCGTCAGTTCTTTGTCTGTTCATGATTTGCCCCTCTTTTTAAAAATGTTCCCGATCTCATTCTCCAAGGTCTCCTATAATCACTTCCATAAATGCTCTGGATAACTTGCACCATCTTGTCTTCAATACCTCTCACACGTAGTCCTTCCCACACTCTCTCTCTCTCTTTAGGTATTTTCTTTAAACATTCTTTAAATGTGTGATACTGTACGCTGTGATTTCTTCTGAATCCACTTTGTGCTGCCAGAAGTGTAAATTCCATCTTTGATCTTAATCTATGTTCTATCACACACTTCTTTGGCCACGATAATTACATATTTCTTCCTTTATTATTTTCTATATTCTTTTTAATTTTCTCCTCTAGTCCACTAAATAGAAGAAGTCTACTTTTGTAGATTTCTCTATTTTTCATAGAAAACCATACATATACTAATCAGCTATGTTTTCAGTTTTCAGATCTTGCCTTCTTTTGGTTCTTTTCTCGTTTAAAGTGGCGGTACTGATTTTCTCCACTTTCGAAATTCGCTGCAGATTGTTAAGTCTATATCTTTCATTAATTTCACAGGCATAAATCCTTCATTAAAGACATATGCTGCTATGACTATACACATTCCTACTGTTTTGAAGCCATTAAAAACATGATTATAAGAACCAAATTCCATACACAGCTGTTGAAAGATTTATTGTTGTTTTGCAAATTTTTCTACAAGCATGTTTTTAAGAGATCGTCGGCTCGTTATACCCCATAAATCGGTTTTAGAATCTTTATTGTATCGAAGATCTCTTTGTGTTTGGAAGTTTTGTTCCTGTTTTCGTATTTCATTTTATGATAGTCATATCAGGAGGAGTAACGCTTCGGTGTTGCTCTCTTCTATTTGCTATAACTTTGTAAATACTTTGAATTTCGATTTGTGATTTTTGTGGTATACATAATAGATATTCCTTTAGAAATATAAAAAAATGAGCTTATACAGCAATATGCCCTTAACGAGATATTAGCTACAGTGGTAGTAGACGAGATCGTTAGCGGCACAGATGCTATATCTTATTTCGTTAAAAAGATATTAGCGGAAGTGCTCGAATTGCCATCGTTAAAGAGATATCAATCGATGCTAACTTTCTCTCTATTTGTTTTTATAATTTGTTTATTAAAAGAAGATTTATTTATAAATAATTTGTAGAGATTTCACAAACATTTTCCATGCTATCAATTTTTCATGAATAATTAAAGTTTCTTATGAATAAAATACGTTACTAACATCAATCTCAATTTAAATCCCACACTCGTTTCTCATTCGAAAAAATATAAAAAAAGGTAATAACATTGGAAGACAACTTCGCATCTAATAAGATCTGGTGGAACGTGCGCCTTTTCCGTGCTGTCAAAAGTGGTTTGAGTGTTCGTTCCCCTCTACTTACCGCCACCCTCAGAAAGAAAATGATTAGAACCGTGTCGCCAGTTTCAGGCGAAATCGATGTTCGGTCTCATCTTTTGCCGAATCGTACTCCTTTAATAAAAAAGATCGTCATTTCTATCATCTTTTTGATCGTGAGACAATTTTGAGATTGCTTTAATTACGAGAAGTTTATTCTAAGATTTATGTTGATTGAATTTTGTGGGGGATAAGGGTCGTTAATGAAAAGAAGAAATGGTCTGCTGAAAATATCTACACTTTAAGTTGTAGGAATTTAAATGAAATTGTTTCTTGTGTGCTTTTATTTTTATTACAATTAAATTAACCAAGAAAAGTTTATGCCCCTTCTCCTAAAGGTCTCAAAATTAATTCGGTTATCTAAAAATATTAAAAATTTAAAATTAAGTTTAAAAATAAAAAATAAGTTTCTTACATGGGCAAGAGGAGGAAGAGATAACATAAACATAACGCATCTAACAACATCATCAGGACTTAGTACTCTAATATCTTTCGGAAGATTCTTTAATAGTTCTTCAGTAACTAACCCACCAGCAATAGCAATTTCAGTGGCAACACCACCAGGACTCATACTCTAAAAAGAATATGATTAGAACTTTTTTTTAATATTTATGTTACTTTTTTTATACCGAAATACGAATTTTACTTTTCTGTTTAGCTAATTCCAATCGAAGATTTTCAGTATAAATTTTTAACGCATGTTTAGAACTTGGATAAACATTTAATAAATCCGACATTGTAGGATAATGTGCCGCTGTACTACTAATATTGATTATATAACCATCTATATTATGAGCTTTCATAATTTGAATTGCTTCCTTACAAGAAATAACAACCGCCATAAAATTAGTTTCCATCACTTCTCTAAAATGTTCAATCGATCCTTCAGCTAAACGTCCGTTACGAATAACCCCGGCATTATTGATAACGATTTCAACTGGACCAACGTTATCAAGAGTCCATTTGTAAGCTTGTAAAATATCTTCTTCTTTCATTAAATCGGCTTGACAAGGATAAAATTTTCCAGCTTCACCTTCGAGTTCTTTTTGTATAGCTTCTAAACGATCTTTACGTCTAGCCAAGCCCACAACCTGAAATTAAAAATAAAATAATTATTAAAGTTGTTAAAAATTTAATAATAATAAATTACCTTCGCTCCATCTTTTACTAAACGTTTCGCTAACGCAGCACCAATGCCAGCACTACTCCCGGTTAACAAAATAATTTTATCTTTTATTGAATCCATTTTATCCAATTACTTTACTCAACGAGGTGGTGAAAGCAACTAACCAAACATTAAGTTTTATGTAAGGCCAAATATAAGTAAACTCAAAATGATGACCTTGCGGAATACGATATCTAATCAGAGGAATTATCCTACGATGAGAATTCGAGTTTTCAAGTAGAAAAATTAAAAACATGATGAATTATTTTAGATTGTTACGAATCATGTGGGAAAATCTAAGATTTCAAATGTATTGGTTTAAAATACAAATAAAGTTAGAGATACATAAAAAAAGAAATGTTATGAATTTGTTATTGGGAGTATTTGAAAATTACAGGTAAAATAATATACCTATAAGCCTATATATATATATAAACCTATAAGCTGCATTTTTTATTAGAGGGGCTATGTTGAAATATTGATACACCCTTTTGGGATCGCATTCACTAGGACTTTGGTGTTTTATACATGAGTTTGACGATAAAAATGTCAGAGAAACGACTATTTAAGTGGTACGAAGCATACGTCAAAGAAGTTATTATTGATGTGTATAGTGTTTGAGTAAATGACAGAAAATGGATTACCTAAGTAGTGAGATGGAATCGTATTAAATTGAAACTAAGAATTTTTTGGTCATGTCGTAATATTTGCCGCCTGACTTCTTTGCTCCCAAAATTCCCAAAATTTTCAAAGTTAATTCGAAATTAGGTCATTTATAAGATAGAGCTAATCGAGCTGTTCCCAAACCTGATAACCAGATGAATTTAGATGCGAACTAGAAATGGAACTGCTCTCTATAATGTACTTGAAGAAGTTCTGAGCTTTTTTATCACCACCTTGTCATCACGGCGAAACGTAAAATGCCATTGACTTATTATGTTCTTCTATGTTCCTTCTGTGTTCTTTCTGTATTTTATTCCTCTTTCATATTTAAGTAATGTGAAGAATGCTGTTGCTTTTAGCTTATGAATCATTTTATTGACAACTTTTATTGCTTCTGCCTATTCTAGACATTTGAAACCTAAGTAATACGATTACTTAATTCATAATTGCCTACAGCCAGAGGAATAACCTACAAGTGGTTGTTGGATGTGACGCCAATGCGCACCACACAATGTGCTTTTTGACTACCTATTAAGGTAGGGGCTTACTGCTACCTTTGTTAGCAGAAGACTTTAGTTATCAGAAACTTTCACGAATTCAACGGGTAGCTAGATTGGCAATCTCTGGTACGATAAGCATAACGCCAACTCTAGCAATGGAGGTTCTGCTTGGCCTATCTTCTCTGTATTTGCATATAGAGAAAGTGGCCAGAACAACCATTTACAGATTTAAGCAATATGCTCAAAACTGTTCCGACATGTCCTGCCAATGGGCTGCGGAAGGCATTATAAGCACTGATACTATGCTATCATTGCCGTCAGATTTGGTGAGGTCACTATCAGTGATTAATGATCGATACGAGATTGTACTGCCTGAGCGGCAGGTCCTGGATAGAAAACGAAAATTCTCTGGTTCAGGCTCAGGATCAAAAATGCCGGAAGGTTAGTTAAGAGCAGTCCAATGCTCTTAACTAACTTTTGATTCTGCCAGTTTTAGACATTTAAAACACACCTCAACATTAGGACATGCGAAACCAAAGTAATACGATTTTGCAAAGATATTACGTAATAAGTTATCTTTTACAGTAAGATCAGTGGGAACAACTTTATTATACATTTTCCACATGAAGCGTAGCTTAGTTCTCCCGGTAAATACAATTTACGCATTGTTTGGGTTCTTACTTTTTTCAACCCAACCCTGGAGTTACACATAACATTTATGGCATTATCATCTAAAATTAACATCAGAAAACAACTCACTAGGGGTTGCCCTGTATCAGACCATGGACAATGACGTCATGACGTGATAGTTGATTGAGTACGGATGGTGTAATAAGTACGGCAATTTGCGTTGGAGATGGCTGAGGTTGAAACTATCGTGAAGTTTTATACATAAGTTTGCTTACACATGGCCGGGTTCGCTTGGAAATGTTTTACAGACGTTGTACAATGCTATTGATGCTTGGTATTAATTTTTGACAATGATGAAAACTTGTTCTAAAAAATCTCCAACGTATCCAAAGAGCAGATGACTCGACAAATGCGTAGAAAAACTTAGATATTGCTTAGAAATTTGTCTAATTTTTCTAAAAATAGCGAGGTTGTCGCTGTCTCGGTTTTGTCGAGGTTGGTTCAATTCAACACTTCATTGATTTGACTGAGTAGGAAGTTGGAATTTGCCAAAAAGGCTGTGGAAAGCTTTATGCCACTTTCCAACATTTCTGCGACGTTGAATCCTTATTTAGTCTATGCATATTTAGAGTTGGAGATAGTTTCTATCTTCAAAGATGGTGTAATTTCTCGAAATCGTAGAGTCTGGTCATAATTCTCGTTCATGTAAGAATTCTCCAAAGCAAGATGATTTTATATGCTGTTTAAAATTTTGCTTGAATCATGCCATAGAATGTTCAGTTATTGTAATAGTGTGAAAAAATTATAGAGTCTCTTATGTTATGTCACCAGAGTAATGATAAATGTATAAGAAAGCTAGGATTCTCAACGCAACCCTTAGATTAGAGATTACATATACCGGCTTGCTGGAAAGTTTTGGATATTATCATATTTCCAAAGCCAAGAAGACTTGCCAAATTACTTGCCAAATTATATTCTGGTAAAAGAACTCAACAGTAGACCAAGTGCATATTATAACTGACACCATTGAACGGGTCCTAGAAGAAAAGATAGCTTGTTCGGCAGATTTCCTAGATGCGGTACAAGCCTTTGACAAAGTATCGAACGATGGCTTGATTCACAAATTGAACAAAATGCTTCCAAAGCAATACGTAGAGATATTAACGTAGTATATCTCGGGCAGACTCTGTAGAGTTAAACAAAAAGGTAAAAGCCGGAATTCTCACGACAGTGTACTATCCTGGATCTGCTATAACCTAGTGACATATAAGAGTTGAAGGGGACTACTGTGAATGGACGATAATGTTGAGCGAGCTGAAATCCGTCCACATTAATTTTATAAATACACTGCAAATAGATCCACCACCTCTAGATATAAATGGCACCATTGTCCCATGTGAGAAAAACTCCAAGTATCTAAAAGGCATGAATCTGAATTCTGCAAAGAGTGGAATTAGTCCTAAAGTACGGACAGTTTTGTTGGCTAATTGGTAAGAACTCCAAATATTCAATCTCCAACAAATACTAATTTACAATCAGATGCTGAGAGCAATATGGTACTACGGTATCCAGCTCTGGGGTTATGCTGGTGATTTGAACATCAAGTATATTCAAGTATTTCAGAACAAAGTGATATTCCGATATACATAGAGATCTTAGGATTCCGATCAATCAAGAAATTGGAAGGTTTGCTGAAAAGTATGAAATTAGACTTCAACACCATGTTTGAAGGCTGAAGAGAAAATAATCATGTTTTGTGGTGTGTTGTGTATAAAAGCCAAGCACAGTGCGTGAGAACAAATCTAGAAGACATCAATGAAATTTTAATTGCCACATTTAAATAATTTTTAACTTAGTTTTAATATAAGCGATAATCGCTCTAACATTGTCTAGAATTTTAAACAGGAGTTCGAGCTATTTTCAGTGAATCCGTGAGAAACCGAATACATACCAATGAGAACTGAATAGAAGGAATCCAAAAATATCCATCGATTTAACTCGTTTTTTTATGTACTGTTTAAATATAAGAAAGAATTCCCAAAAGATACAATTTCATTTAATCTTACCAATAAATCAAAGTATAATCCTTCTTAAAGGAACGGTTTACAATTCGATACGTAGAATTTGCTGTATACTGAACGACGATTTAATGCTATACGAAGCCTTGATATATTACCGGCAGCGTGTGCAGAAAGTTTCGAAAAAAAAAGGTTGTCCCGAACCCTATGGAGCAATAGAATCAAACTGCACCAGTGGGTTTACTATCGGGTCATTATTTGTAATTCGAAACAGAAAAAAAGAACGGTGTTTTATTGCATGTGGTGGATTCAAAACGTTCATTCGGAAATTATTGACACAAGAGAATACGAATGGATGTGAAATCTATTTACCCCCAAAATTGCAAATAAAAAAAATACAAATTTCATTAATAAAAGAAAATGTGTTTTCGAACAATATTTTGATTTCCATAACGTGTAAATTGATCGACTAATATTATTTACATAGAGTTATACGGTAATAGTTCAGCTTGTGTAAGTAAAACGACCGTTATAACTCAATATGATCAATACTTGGTGAATATTAATGGAATATAGATGATGTATCGAGTACTTTGATGTTTGATTATATTAATTAATATGAAACTTTATAAATTCCGTATTATAACATAACATGGTTTACTAAAATTAAAATCATATTAAAACTTTTTTATTTACTTATTACGCTTTTATTTTATGTTCCTTAAATGTTTTATGTTATGTTTATATAACATTTATATTAAAACGTTTACTAAACAAGAGAATTTAAACTAGAGTTGCTTTAGCTTGTCAGAAGCATTGTAGCAAGCTCACCCACCAATTAAATAACGCAATTTGCGAAATGGTTACTACGCAAACTTACCTGTACCATGTATCCAACTACGAGTACCTATATTTACTTGTAGTTCAGTTCAGAATACCTCTAGAGATAGACGTGAAATCATCTTCAGTATTACACCGAAATTTAATTACGGCGACCGTTTTGAAAAGCTCTCGTTAGCCTCGATATTACAAGATACTTCTGAATAAACATTTACGTTTTAGAAGGAGGAAACCGTTTTTTTATTTATCAGGGAAAAAAAGAATCTATTCGCAGGAAGCATAATAATATGTGTATATCTACTTCGAGTTCAAACATTCAACGTTTGAAGATTCCGAAATTTATAAGAATTGTTACTTTTGAAGTATTCCTTTATTTATTTTTTTTTTATAAAAAAAAACAAAGGAAAAATTAAGTATTTCGTTGTATCAAGATTTTAATATCAAGATAAATCTTGATAATAAAATTCTACAATACATTCTAATTAACAAAGACTTTTATATCCTCGCCCTTCGTAAAAGAACATTCAAGGCTAAGAAACCATTTCAGTCCCTTGGAAT